TTCCCTAACCCACAGATTGAGTCTGTCTATAATCTTCAACCAAAAGAATGCCAACATCTCATTAGCCTAGCCATGTTTCTGGGTTAAGAGATGTAAGTCACCTTCCTTTTCCCCCATGCCAACGGTGAGAACTGCACCGAATGTCACCTTTATTTCCTAAATCAAGTGTATTTGAAACATTCCAACCTCAAACTTTCCATTTTAGGATTCTCCTTATCTCCTCAAGACCAACTCTCCAAACCTTTCCTCCACCGACCACTTTGCCCATTTCTCTGCCATCCTAAACTTCCCTTCAAGCTCCTTCCGAATTTTCAATTCAGGACGAAGACCCTGACTTTTGCCTTGGCTCTAGCTAACCTCCTTCTTCCCTCCCAAATTGTTCTTTTCATCCCTCCCTTTTTTTTTTTTGCATGTTTCGCACAAGTGGTTGTTCTGTCCAGTTCCCTTGTCTTGCTGTTCAGCCTTAATTTTTCTGCTTTTAAAATTTTCACTTCATTTTCTCTAAGGAACCTTGCAGGGTTCTTTGTGAGCTGAGCTATTATTTCTCAGCTTGCCTTTTCTTTAGTCAAAAAAAGCTTCCCTGTATCAAGTTAGAGGCTGCTAGTTCTCTGCCTTTGCTTCTTCAGTACCAAGAGCCTGGAAAATAGGAGTGTGTGGTGTGAAATGATGGTCATTGGGATAAAGGGAATCAGCTGTAAATTGGAAAAGGGGACATCTTCACACCTTCTCCTTAAAAACTATGATTTGCAAAGAGATGTAAGTAGATGTCCTAGCAGGTGTTCTTTCTGTAGCACTAGCCTAAGTATTCAAGAAAGAAAAAAAATCCATTTTTTTAATTCTCTCCTCAGTTCCCAAACAACTATTTGGCAGCTGATGGTTGTAGTAGACAAACGGGAGAAAATGTCAGGATGTCTTTCCTGGAAATCAGAAAAAGACCGGAATATTGCTGATCTAGGAGTTATCTCTTGGTTTGATAAAATTGCTGACTGATTACCACTCCCTGGATCTGACAGGCTAGCTGATCTGCTTTTGCAGACAGTATATTTTTTTTTGCTGCATTTTTGTGCATGTTGATCTTCCCTGACTTCAGTCTACCTAAGGGAGAAAGGAGGTGCTTCCTGTTGATCAAAAACAAAGAACAGCTTTTCATGCTCCACAGTTGGTTAACTCCTTAAAGCAAATATTTCAAATAAGAGTTAAGCAACGGCCAGAGCCTGTTCTTTGGGAAGGGTTGCAATTTGGGAAGGGTAGATTTCTCTGTCATACATATAAAGTGTGGGATAATTTCTTGCTACATTCTGTGTTTTTTCCCCCTTCCCCTTCATTTTAGAAGACTGGATTGTTTCTAAAGAGACCGCCCAGCCATACCACCAGCAGCTTCCACAATGGCAGCAGGAGTAGCAGCGTGGCTGCCTTTTGCCCGAGCAGCAGCAATAGGATGGATGCCAGTGGCCTCCAACCCTATGCCAAATGCACCTCGGCAGGAGAGGAAATGTAGCCAGGATTCTCTGATTGTGCTGAATGTGAGTGGCACCCAGTTCCAGACCTGGCTGGACACCCTCGAACGCTATCCTGATACCCTTCTGGGCAGCTCGGAGAGAGACTTCTTCTACCACCCAGAGACACAGCAATACTTTTTCGACCGGGATCCAGACATCTTCCGACACATCCTCAATTTCTATAGAACAGGGAAGTTACACTATCCCCGTCAAGAATGCATTTCAGCCTATGATGAGGAGCTGGCCTTCTTTGGTATTATCCCTGAAATCATTGGCGATTGCTGCTACGAGGAATACAAGGATCGACGACGGGAAAATGCTGAACGCCTTCAGGATGATGCTGATCAGGATAACGCCAATGAGTGCCATCTTCCTTCCATGACCGCTCGAGAGAGGATGTGGCGGGCCTTTGAGAATCCACATACCAGCACACTGGCCCTGGTTTTTTACTACGTCACTGGCTTTTTCATTGCTGTTTCTGTCATGGCGAACGTGGTGGAGACTGTGCCCTGTGGGATGACTCCTGGTGCCATCAAGGAGTTGTCCTGTGGAGAGCGCTACGACGTGGCTTTCTTCTGCCTAGATACAGCTTGTGTCCTGATCTTCACTGTTGAGTATCTCTTGCGCTTGGTGGCTGCTCCAAGCCGCTATAAGTTTGTCCGTAGCGTCATGAGCATCATTGATGTTGTGGCAATTATGCCATATTACATTGCTCTGGTGATGACCAACAATGAGGATGTCAGTGGGGCTTTTGTAACCCTGCGTGTCTTCCGGGTCTTCAGGATCTTTAAATTTTCACGCCACTCACAGGGTCTACGCATCCTTGGCTACACTCTGAAAAGCTGTGCCTCAGAGCTTGGTTTTCTCCTTTTTTCTCTCACTATGGCCATCATAATCTTTGCTACAGTCATGTTCTATGCTGAAAAAGGTTCATCTGCCAGCAAGTTTACCAGTATTCCTGCTGCTTTCTGGTATACCATTGTTACTATGACCACCTTGGGGTAAGTGCATATGGTTTTATATCTATTTATGTAAAATGTAGACAATTTGCATTGTTATCTGGATTATCTTTGCCTGTTTTTTTTTTTTAAAGTGATGAAAAAATGATGCATAATTGTGCTCAATTGAGGAAATGCTTATGATCCTTTATGATATGCAGAAGATGCCACTTCACTTTCTCTCATGTAAATAGAAAATATTGAGAGGTACAATTATGAGTTCCCTTAAATTCTAGGATTGCTGTGAATTTTGTATTCTTTTTTCTTTTACTTATTCAGATATTCCTGTTGAAGTTTGTACGCAAGTTTATCCTCCTATTTTTCCTTTATGGTTTGATGTAATGATAGTTGAGTTTTAGGCAAAAGATAACAATTCTGTTTTCCTATTATCCTTGATTGGTATGATAAGGAACTTTATAATAGTTTATGTACTCATAGCAAAAATGTAAATAACCTTTCACCTCAGAAGAATTATAGTCAAATAATATAAAAACTAACACAACGCTTCTAAGTTTGCTTTTTAAAATATATGTTAAAGTTGTCAATGTAGCTGATTTTGAAATGTTGCATTAAGCATTTAAAATTTATATTTAGTTTTTCATTCTAGAAGCTAACTTTTGGAAATCATGATGAATTCACCAACAGGGCATTATAGGTTATTTCATGATTTCTTACAATGTAGCATTTTATATAAATATCTTTTTTGAAGAAGGACTATGATGTGAACTAAGTTTTTAAAAAAGTTTTAATGGGAAATTGTTCAGCCTATGCTTATCCTTAAAAATCAGAGTTTAATCCTCAAAATGACTGATACCCCAAAAATGCTTCTCACAATATTATCTGGATATGACATATAGAGGTAAGTTAATTTGAAGAAGTTTATTTGTAATTTTATTCCAAATTAGTTGCGCAATAATTTACTGGGAAAGGATTGATTTCTTTTTTTTAAATGCCCATTATTACCATAATGTATTATAAGTCTTGCAAATTTATCTGTTATAAGTTCTGCAATAACTTTCCCCATCTTATTAACCTTCAGACATTTTGAACTGCCCTAACCCCTATTTCTCATCATAGGGCACGGAGGTTAAGGAAGAAAAGGAAAAGATTTAAGTTGGAGATATCTTGCTATCAACTCATATTTTATCTCAAAAACATTCATTTGTTCTTAAATAACAAATACTGAGCACCAAAAACAAACAAATATTAAGCACTGAAAATATGCATTATTTCTGGATCAAGTTTAGCATTTCACTAAGGAGAGTAAAATAGATTTATATGAATGAGTATTGCTATAAACTTCAGTGACATTTCAGAAATAGGACAGACTGCAAGACTTAATCCTCATTGTGTTCTGTAAAACTTTAAGCATGTAATTTAAGCACTATCACTGAGATCAATGGCAGCAGAAACCACTTAACTCTGCCTTGGGGATGGATATAAATAAGATTGCAATTGTGATTATGATGATAGAATTATCTGTTTGAAATGAATCAATCTTTAATAAAGCTACTATGGGTTACTGTACAACTATAATTAACACTTTAATTAAAAAAAGGCATTGCTATGTTTGTGTGTGTGTTGGGAAGAGGGAGAGGAAAAGTAAGTATTTAGGCTTTTTTCTGTTCAATAGTTTATTTTCCTGAAAGTGTTCCTTCCACTTGTTTGCTGGTTCAAGCAGACTTCTGGAGTTTCACAAGGAAAACAAATATTATGACAAACCATAATTTTACCAGTTGAATTAAAAAAAAACTTTATTAGACTGGGTCAGATAAAGGACATACATAAAATATATCAGACTGAAATTTGAAATGACAGAGACCAGATTGTATCTGTAATTTCTGGTTGGAAACCAGAGACATTTAGGTTGTGATTCAGTTAAATGTTAATGGCAGCGGTAAAAGAAAAAAATAGTCAAAACTTAATCGTGTGGCTCTAATATTTATCATACTGCGTCAAAAAGAAAGGCCTAACCAGCAATTTTTAATCTTTCATTCATAGTTTGAATGTTTTATACTGCATCAGGATACATTTAAATTAAATGTCAGGTGCACTGTCTTTTGGTCTTGTCCATGGTACTGAAATGAATATTTGGTTTTTATTTCATTGCCTTGAATTGTTTTATTTTCTGCAGGCTGACTTTTTTTTATTGATAGTGGACTAAGACAATTAAACTTTCTGTGAAGTAGATTTTTTGATAGCTATACTAAACAAGAGTATAAACTTTGCTTTTAGTTCTTAGGAAGGCAAGCTGTGTGGTATTGTTTGGCAAATATTCTTACTTACATTCTGCAGGATATCTTAAAACTTACTTATTACTTTTATAAAATAACATTTTGTACATTTTAAAATAAATAGGATAATTTTTTATAACTGTGTGTGTGAGTGTGTGTGTGTGTGTAGATTATATATATACATATACATATACATATACATATACATATACATATATATTTCCAAGGGGTTATCAAAGTAATAAATATTACACTGTAATAAATACTTTTCAATAATCACTTTATCTCCCAAATCCTAAAATTAACTAAATAAATATAAAATAAACAGTTTGTTTACCTCAGTTGTTTTTCCTGTCTAAATCAATGACCGAAAACATATATCTTAAGAATAATTTGAAATATATATACTGTAGGTAGGTGTTGCATGCATGGAAGTGCGTATCCATGTGAGTGTATACTTCAGTGTATGTTCTGCTGGTACAATGATAGAAAAAAAATTGAAAGAAGTAGGAGTGAGAAACAAGGTTGATAACATAAGTAATGTGTGCTATATTCCTTAATCATACATTAAGTAAAATTTACTAATACTGGTTTAAAGCTTTAAAAAAGACTTCTAATATATTTCTGTAGAACAGAATGCTTTAATAATGATTAAAATTAAATAAACATCCTGTGTTTAGTAACTAATTAGGAAATACTTTACAATCTTACAGAATCACATGCAGCTTGATGGCATGTTAACTATATTTTATGTAAATTGCAGAGAACAGCTAAAATCCTTACTAACCACACTCCTATAGTAAACTTAATGAGCAGCAGTCTTACTCATTGAATTAATAAACATATGTAGGAGCAAAGATATTTCTCAATATTGCATAAGGCTATGAAATTAAGAAGTTTTCATAAATTGCAAACTTTAGAGATGCTGTTCTTTATAGAAACTACTTACAAGGGAAATAGTTCTTTAAGCTATGTCTGAAAAGAAAAATAATAGGCATCCTTTTAGACTTGCATAGAAATAAAACTGAAACAAAATTATGTATCAACAGTTTCAACCTGTTTGTCTGTTTCCACTGTTCACTACTTTGATAAATCACATTTGGAATACTAACTTGTGCAATAAAGGAAGCAGTGATATTTGGGTAAAACAAGATAAAACACAAGAATTCCTATTTTAATTGGTATATTATTGTATACTTTATTTATTTCTATTCATTTTTCCACTAAAAGTAGATAGGTAAAGTTGTACTGTGTTTCATGTTTCCCATGTTGCAAACAATCCATCATGATGCATACTATTACAAATTTATTACTGTCATATCACTATACAGGTAGTCCTCAACTTATAAGTATTTGTTTAAAGTTACAAGCACTGAAAAAACTGACCTGATAATTTTTCACACTCATGACTGTTGCAGCACCTCCATGGTCACGTGATCAAAATTTGAATGCTTGGCAACTACTTCATATTTATGATGATTGCAATGTCCTTGGATCATGTGATTATTTTTTATGACCTTCTGAGAAGCCAGTCAATTCATTTAACAACCATGTTAATAATTTAACAACTGCAGTGATGCACTTAACAACAGTGGCTAGAAATTTCTTAAAATGAGGCAAAATTCACTTAACACTTAGCAGCAGACATTTTGCGCTCAGTTGTGGTCATAAATTGAGGATTGCCTTTACTGTAGCTGCAGAGCTTTTGTATGGTAAAGAATATATTAAGAGGAAGGGTATTAATTTATAAAAGCAGGAAATAGAATACATTAGCACATTGATCTCATTCACACTCTTCTGGTTGTAATTAATAAAAACTGTAAAAATGCACCTTTGTAATTTTTTAACATCCAATCAAGCTGTTAATGAAACATTTGTAACAAACTTTCCTGTAAATTAAAGGAATATATTGTGCAATAACCAACGATATATGGTTTACATTGTAACTCCAATATGCAGTTTTTCCTTAATGATTTACCTTGGGTTTTTTTCATGTCTCTTCTAGTATTTTACCATGATGGAATTTAAGTTTTGTGCAGAGATATATTCTATCACAGACTAAGTGGTGATGCTAAGCATTGAGCATTTGATGCCAAGCATTAAGCATTTCATATTTTACAACAAATTGTTTGTTTCATTTAAAATGTACAGTTCTGTTTTTAGTTCTGAGTAGTTTCAAAACATTGATGCATAATAAAAATATTAAAATATATCTAAGCTACCTAAAGAACTCTCAAATCCGAAGTAGAAGTATTTAAGCACATATTATATTATATCCCCAAAATAGAATTAGCTTGGATATTATTTTATGCCTGTTGAGTCTGCGGAGGAATTGGTGTGTGGGCAAACAATTTTGAGCCAAAATTATAAGGCTTTATTCATCATCGTAAACACTCTGAATAGGGTCCAAAAAATAACTGGTAACCACTACAGCTATTTTATGGAAGAGGTGACATCCCTGGAAGCACCAATTATCATTTATACTTTGCTTTCTGAATTGTCTTCATGACTCTCTCTGCAAAAAAAAAAAAATGCATTGAAGCAATTTAGCTTTAAAGTATGCATCACAAAGTCTTTCTCTTTCAGGATTGAATGTATTTGATTTAGTAGCTGAAGTTAATAAGAGGTCCTTTTTATCACTGCTGTAATGTGATTTTTCACTATCAGTACCAGATTGAAGAAAAATTTCCACCTTTGAACCTGAATCTTAAAAACTGCAATCTGATCAAGATAAGGCAGATATCCTAAAGTTTGAAATCTTTGTCCTAA